AAAACTTTTTACTTGGTTGCTTGGTTTTCGAACTGCGAACGATTCCACAGGTCTGCAAAAAGAACTTTTTAAAAAATTGTTTTGATTTCGTTAACTGATCTTCATGTAGTTTTTTACGCTGATTTCAAAAATGACATTTGTTTTTATCTATCACGTAAGGTTTGCCTAGAAAATGAGTATGAAAATTGAAAAAGTACAAGAAGACGAGGAATTGTGGATTTATTTTTATTATTTTAACGTAAAGTAAAAGCAAAAAAACAATGCTACATAGCTGAACTAAGCATAATAGTGATACACAAGTGTTTGCAAAGTGATTATGAGTCTTTGTTAAAACGTTTTCTTTTCCGTCAAAGCTTCTTTTGGTACTTTTTCGGCTATGTTCTTGTGAATTTTTCCTTTTTAATGCCCAACATTAGTCTGCCATCATGTTAACATTCCACCGACCTTGGTATCTGCGTTCCATTTCTTTTCTTGATGGAACCGTTCTCCTTGTTCCTCACTTACAGCCCCTAGATTTTCGGAAAAGTAGTCCAGATGTGAGTAAAGGAAATGGACTTTGACACTTATGTTGCAGCCCAACATTTTTTCTTTCATGTTCATTTTAGTGACAAAGCTTTCATCTTTTAAAAGTTTTCTTATGTCAGGCCCAACGAATACTCCTTCTTTTAGTTTAGCATCGGTTAGACCAGGAAACTTTCCAGAAAGATACTTGAAACAATCTCCTTCTTTGTCTAATGCTTTCACAAACTATTTCATTAACCCCAATTTGATATGAAGTGGTGGAAGTAAGATTTTTTTAGGATCCACTAAACTTTGTTTTTCAACATTTTCAAGGAATAAGACCCTTTCTTATTGGCCACACCTACTTGTGTTGTTTCCTGTCACGGCTATCCCATTCACATAGGAAACATGGAAACTTAGTGTAACCACTTTGTTGACCTAGTAACGTTGATCAGAGTAGTTGAGCTTCTAAGAACAAATTCAAGATTTTCGTAGTATTCTTTTAAATGGACTGAGTGTCCAACAGGCACAGAAGCATAATAGTTCCCATTGTGAAGAAGTACAGCTTTCAAACTTCTTTTTGATGAATCGATGAAAAGTCTACATTTCTCTGGGTCATACGTTATGTTGAACATTTCCATGACGCCGGGTACATTGTTGCAGAAAACTAGGCCACCCTCTTGTGTAAAAAAGGGACAAAGTCCCTTTCTCTAAATCAGTACCATGAACACCGGAGGCTAACATACGTCTTTCTTTAAGTCTAAGTCAGAATCATCGAACCCATACCGAACCCAAAAACCCATTTAATAAGAAAATTTCAGGTGAAATGTGACATCTATAGGCGACAGATTTTTTTTACTATTTCTTCCGTAATCTACACACAAAATATTGTTAAAATCACTAGTTAAATATCCTACAATTTTTCCATCGCAGACCTGTGTTATATGCCAAAAAACTATTAGTGACTTTTTTTACCAGTAGCAATACCCCTCAAAAGCACTGGAAACGTTTTTTAACACTTTTCTCTTGAATGTTTACAGATAACTGAAATGAAATTTTGTTGGAAAGCAAAAAAAATGTAATTCCGGAATGCCATAATCGCAATTTTCAATCACTTTGCCACGGTACATGTCTGTGAGATGAATAATTGTAGACTTGTATAATTCTCTGAAAACATTGTTTACCTATATCCATGAAAATGAGGCATTCGCACTGTGGTCACAGTTTTTAACGCTCTAAAAAAATATACTCTGAAAATTGAAGACAATGTTATTAGGTACTGTCACTATATGGAACCGGAATCTTTCCAAATCGAAATATCAAGAAGTTATAAGCCAAAAAAATGTGCCGGACGGAAAAGGCGATTCTGAAGAAAAAAGTAAACAGCTCTAATGAAGTATAACCCGATAATTATCAGACTTTGACAAAAACTTACTTTTTATACAAATTAGTTTTTAGATTTTAGATAGTACCAAAATAGTACTATCATAAAAAAAGCATAATTGACAAATATCCACTTTTTTACTCTTATCAATTACCCCTTTACTAATTCATTTAAAAATTAATAACTAGTTTTCAGATGATTTATTTCTTCAAAGTTCATTGCTTAAGGTAATTAAAAGAAAGTAAAATGTTATATTGAAACAAGTAATGAAAAATAAATAAAATTTCAGTTCGACGTAGTGTGAACAATTTGTTTCGATGGTACGCCAAAGTACTAAAATAGTGTTGTCGTAGAAAAAACTATCATGTCACAATCGTGTGAAACATGCTATCTCTAAAAACTTGTTGTACAATATACTATTCCCATGCTATAATAAAAATACTGTGTTTCGATGCGCGTTACCATCATCAGGAGATGTCTTCTATCGGGTGATTTTTATAGTTCTCCAAGGTTTTCACGTGGACATACATATTACGTCGAGAAGAATATGACGAACATCCAACACGGAACCTGTACAAACTAGTACAGGAACCGAGACTGATGGAATGAGTGTCATGTCAAGTTTACCCTACGTTTACTACATTACTGTCCGTTGGTTAACCAACAACATTTATATGGTAAAAGTGGATTTGAAACTCATTTTCATTTACTTCAGGAGTATAAAAATCATACATTTTCGAGAGGTAGGTACCTATCATATGACTCTCCAAAAATTTTGTATGGGTTAGTAGAGACAAAAAAATGGATTTTGATATCGAAGTTTTTTGTTCACAGCAAATTACTGACCATCTAAATTTTTTGTTCGCAACACTTCAGTTCGCCGATATTTCTAGGTCTTATCCTATCACCTCCTCGGAGTGGGTTATCTCATTTTTTTCAAACGTTTTTAGGTATACACCGCCGTACTAATAGAGGAAGGAACTCATTCGATCATAATATGAAAATTGATAATTTTAAGTGAGCGTCTGTTCCAGATCTGGAGTGAATCATGAGGCCGACCGCTTTGAACTGTGATTTACGCTGATGCCTCTTATCGGCCGATTCTAATGCATTCTCTAAATAACCGCCTGTGTCTCGAGACTTACGACCCATCCTCGACCGTAAACAAGCGGCTATCGCGGTGTGTGTGTGTGTGTGTGCGCGCAACTTGTGCATAGGCGTGTTTTTTGTCGGCCTGAAGAAGGAATTTTTTCGCGTGCCATCTACTACCTGGGGTTCGTTCCCTGCATCTGCTTACTTTAATATTCCCAATGATGATTTTGAAACTAAATGTAGTCCAGGAGGCAAGCCCATTTTAAAAAAATAATCACTATGATCTATTTCATCTAGCGGCGGAACAATAAATCATTTTCATGTAGTTACTCGATAGACTTACATAATTGAGTCGGTTGAAAAGTGAAAATTGTAGATTTATTTCAAACATTCAATGATACATGAATTGATATAACAACTCTCAAAAGACTGTTTATAATTGTATATACCCAAAATTGTTTTTACTTTTGAATTTCGATTAGAATTTTCAGTTGAATGATGTTTTTTACCTAATTGTTATTGTTTTTTGAGTTAGAGGGTTCCAAAAACAAATGTCAGAAGGCATATTCTATTCATTATATCTTGAACATTTCAATGTCGTATAATAAAAATATATACCTACAATAATGTCGCCTGCATAAACAAGTAATAATAGAATATATTTTCAGTCAAAAGATTGGGTATCTTTGCTGCATGTCTTGCTAATTCACTGGTTTTGGTTTTGATCACCATCCTCAAAATTACTTTTGAAAAGAAAAATATCTCTCATGAAAAATTTTCTTCTTGCTGTTTTTATTGGAATAAAGAAAATCCTCTTATTCTGGAAGCGGATCATAGCCAATATATTTGATTCAAAAAAGTTGCACTGATATACTACTTAAGAAATTGAACTTTGAGTTATCTCGTGACAGGGGTTGTCTGTCTGTCGGTCTGTCTGAACTCCATACGGTTTTCACCAATTGTGTTGTTTTAAGGTAGATAAATACTTACCCATTTCAAAATTAAAATTGTTATCAGTTGTAATATAATTCGTTGGGTGAATTTTGTTGAAGCTCATTATTATAAGTTTTTGCTTGGGTACCTATCTTTGTTAAGGAAGTTGATACGAGTTTGTGTGGAAGTTGGAACAAAAGGATAAATTTTAAAGTACAAAAGGTCCGATTACAAATAGATAGTCATCAATAATAATTCGTTAATATTGGACATAACATGCCTATGTACTAGGAACACCGGCTGTTTTCTAGATAACTGCAACTTGTCAGTCATATGCAAGGGCGTCACCAGCTTATGACTAAGGGGGGGGCAATGGGACAACATTATGAAGGATAAAAAATATGAACGCCTGGTCAGTCGAAAGCATGAAGCGTTACATTTTGGAAGTCTTTGCCTCGATGACGATTGTAATAAGAACGGTTCTGATATCAATGTATCAAAATTCACAAGCAAATCTGATATAGTCGTGATGATAATGGCGGCGATTTTAAAAACGAATGTCAGAATTTTAATGTTATTCTGAATATTTCAATATTTTCTACAATATACATTAAACCTTGTGAATTTATTTACGTTTTGTCATGCGATGCGGACTTTATTAATAGGTAAGGAAGTCAATTGCCCGCACTTTGGTCGCTTTGCTGCTAGCTACATTTGATCTCTAGGGGGGAAGCAACTGCCCCCTCTTGCCCTCCGTTGGCGACTCCCTTGGTCATATGTTTTATTTAGGACTAACCACGATTAGCATTAGCGTTTTTTTTGGCAAATGTGTTATGTATAAAAGTGTGTTTGGTAATTCGAAGACAAGAGGGTTTGCCATTCAAGACTAAAGTCTGTCTAATGGTGACATGGTAATAAGTACTGCGTTCGGTTGAACTCTTGCATAGATATCTGAGAGTTATCTATGCTAAATAATATGAAAGTTTTTTTTTGTGTTTGTACGGTTTGCTGTTAGATATGACCGAACCTTGTTATTATTCCAGATCCATAATTTGAAACCTTTAAGAGATATATGGTTTTCTTTTTTCAGATGCTGGCATGGAATTTCAATTTGGGGAAGGCAGGGAATGCGTCAACTGTGGAGCAATATCAACCCCTTTGTGGAGGAGGGATGGTACCGGACATTATCTGTGCAATGCCTGCGGACTCTATCATAAAATGAATGGCATGAATAGGCCGCTAATTAAACCATCAAAAAGACTGGTGAGTTCTGAATACCTACTCGATAATTTTTTGTAACATGAAGCTATTTTATTAGAAAATACATAAGTTGAGTTGGTAATGACCTATTTGAAAATTTTAGAGTTGAATATAATCATTCTGTGAAGTAATTTCAGTTTCGATTTTGAACAAGTATCGGCCAATTCTATTCTTAAAAATAATTCCGTATGACTGGGCTCAAGTGTTCGAGTAGACCAATCTTTGTTATAAATTGGTTTAAAAGCCGCCGTAGTTTGGAACTGCATCCTCGTAGTTTGGGGTGTAGTTTGGAACTGCATCCTCAGTATGAACTATATTGAAAAAAATAATTTTTCATGTACGTACCCAATTTGTATAATAGATATTTGTTGAAGAATTGCTACAAAATATTCAATTCAACTTTTGCTGAAATGCGATTCCTAGCAAATTATACCGGGTGATAACGAAATAATTGTACACCTCGCCATTCATTTGTATCTTGGGTAAGAAATATGAATTCAGAAAGAAACGTATCCATAGTTTCTTGAAGTCGATATTTCTACTAGAAAAAACAATTGAGAATTGTTTTCGATTTGACTAGAAATAAACTCAAGTTAAAAAAGTCCGAATTTCACACCCCAGAAACAACTGAATAACTCTGGGTGAAATGATTTAGTTGTTGCCGGTATATAGGAAGTTCCAATAACAATAACATGTGTCGTCATGTACATGAATTATTGGTCAATCGTTTGAACCCAGAAAAACTCATAGAAAAACCCTTCCTGTTTTCCAGACTGCAACTCGAAGACTAGGTCTCTGCTGTACGAACTGTGGAACAAGAACGACCACCCTCTGGCGAAGGAACAACGACGGCGAGCCTGTGTGCAACGCGTGCGGTTTATACTTCAAACTGCACGGTGTGAACAGGCCCTTAGCCATGCGCAAGGACGGTATCCAAACGCGCAAGCGCAAACCAAAGAAACCAGCAGGCGGAGACCGTGATGACAGTAGCTCCGCCTCGACTGAAGGTGAGTGACGCCCTGTTTTGCGATTGGTGAGGGTAACCGATCATTACCGGGGTTTTTGTGTGGTGGTGGAAAACACTTTCAATAAAATTATAGTCTCCTGGTGGAGCCCAATATGTTTTAACACTTTTTTTTGTTGTGGGTCTGGGATGCGTTTCTTATTTGATTTTGGGTCATTTTCAATATACATTTGTGAGAGTGGCATTCCAGAGATAGCATAAGTAATATGTTGAGAATGTTATTTTTCAAATTTTTTGTTACTTTTTAACTGTTCACATTCTCCTCTGAAATTTGGGGCCGTTGAGATAGTCCATGATATAATATCCACACACTAGAGAATCCGAGAATCCTATTAGATACCAATAAAATTAATGAATATTACTGGAGTTTTTCCCAACATCAAATCGCTATTTTAACACCTCGACACGTGTTTCGATCACCAGGTGACCATCTTCAAGATGAAGATAAGACGGTTTGATCTTCCTCTTGAAGATGATTACTTGGTGATCGAAACACGTGTCGAAGTGTTAAAATAACGGTTTGGTGTTGGGAAAAAACTCCACTAATATTTATTACTACACCAAAGGTTCCAAACAGTGCATCACGAATAAAATTAATCACAAATTGTAGAGAAAAATCAATTGTATATAAGCAGCTTATTGTTTATAACAAATACCAGTTACAGCGAAACAACAGTGAATATTTAGGGAAGTGTAGGTAAGCCTTTTTCAATGAGATATTAGGTATATCAGTCAACCACATTCCCGTTTGAAAAAGTTGAGATTGACGCCTACAAACAAACTCGATGTGTTTTTCAAATTCCTGCCAGAAGTTTTTTCTCTGTACGTTCTACTTCACGGCACGTCTTCCAGAACCCACCCTGTATATATTACGTTTCTCCTCCATAGGTTACCTATGTGTTCTTTTTGTAGTATCTCAAGCAATATACGCTCATTTTTACTTTTATTCCATTCTAAAAATGAAATGGACACGAAAGTTAAAGAATAGTGACGAAAAAAATTTCTTTAAGTCCGATGCGTCAGAAAAGAAAGGGGCGTGACGTCACCAGATATGTAACATGCCGTGCTGTTTCTGTCGTTCACAAGTTCAATTACCTAACAAGTTGTTTATATTCATCTGCCTGGAAATATCGAGGAAAAAGTCCTGAATTCTGCAAATAGTTGATTTTAATGTGAATACAGCACATTCATGTCAATGCTGAAACAAAATAAATGCATTTATACCTATTAGTGCTATATACAAAAAAATTACTCAAACTATCAGACTTCACAAAACTTTTAAATCATTAAATTTGATGAAAACTCAGTCTCTTATTGAAATATTCCATAATCATGTGGTAAATTACTTGTGTGCCTGAATAAAACTAGGTATTGGATTGAACACAACTTCATTGACACTTGACATGTTTGGCTTTATGATGTACTTCAGACACCATATTGACAATCCACGTATCTCGTGACGTCACACGCGAATGTAGATGAAAGTAAAATGAAAAAAAAGTAAATGATATCGATTTGAAATTGTTTCTATTGTATTATGCAAAATATACACTGAAAGAGTATTTGAGAAATGCACAAAATCAGATTCAACTGAAAGATCCCATTGAATGTTTCCGATACGATTTTCGTCATCTTCAGGGTCATCTCTATACCATATACCATCCCTATACCACATACATTGGATGATGGTACATTTATCTTGAAGAAGATGAAAGTCTTCGCCTAAACATCGTCATACATGTAGTAGTCTGTTCGAAGTGTCCGAATGTTCGTCATCCTACTAAGAAATAAACTGCTCCTGAACATTTTGGATCACTCAAAAACAATTTATAATTTCAGATCCCAAAACACCATCTATGGTACATCCGCCCAACCAGCATCACCCATCGCAAAACCAACAGTCTTCATCCCAGAACCTTCAGAATCACCAGCTGGACAAACCTTCACCTGTAGAAAGACCATACTTGGGTCAAACCTCGCTTCTCCCAGCTACGAGCACTAGTGCCATAAAGAGCGAACCAGCTTTCGACTATAGCTGCGTTCAGAATCAACCTTCCTACCCTTATCAACAAATATTTGGATTTCCTGCAAGTACGTCGAGTAACAGCGAGATGGCGTACCATCATCAACACCACGTGACAGCAGCGGCCAAACTGATGGCCTCGTCCTAATGTATGTCCTTCATTGAGTACTGATTTGTTCATATACTCGTAAACATAGCCACTATCCCGATGGTTGAAGGTCTGGAAAGACGCTGAAGTCAGAATTTGTGTCATTGGGCCACAAAGTGAAATATTAAAATTCAAAATCTTCGACAACTATATCCGTATGAGAATTTTTGAACAAACCAAATATCACTTCATTCAAGTACCTTGGTAGGTTCAAAAGAAAAATTGAAGGTCATATCAATATCATTTTTCTTTCCATATGGTGCTTACTGGCATACTGTGGCATATCATTCTTAATCTACCTATTTATATTTCGCTTGTCGTAAGGCTAAACATATACAGTGCATTTCTTTAATGTCCTGCCCTTTTATTTTTTGAACGGTTCAACTCAAAAAATTGAAATTTGGGATAATGATATTAATGCATGAATACTTCATTTTGAAGTAAAATTGACAGATGAAACTGTCAAGATGGCGACTGGGCGCCATCTGGAAAAAAATTAAATAGAAAGGGGGGTCTTGTGGTACATCCTTTTATAGCTCCTGACAAATGCTTCCCAACCTTATAACGTCAATATCTTCAACAACTACAAAATGGCGAAACTTTTAATAATTGCCTGAATACATTGACTTTTACCTACATAATATGACGTAATAAGCTTGAGGTCAGTTCAAAACATGCTCGAAATGGTTGTCTTGAACTTCTTGACATATGAACAGCCTATCTGATATTTCACGCCGAACATTTTCGAACACAGTAACGTCACAATCTCTACAAATATTTATTATTCTCTACCGTACATCCAATATTGAAGCAGGTTCAGTTTCGTACACCTTTTGCTTCAAATAGCTACATTAAAAAAGTTCGAAAGTGTCAAATCTGGCCATTCTGTAGGACATCGACGGTCAATCCAACGACCGGAAAAAGTAGTATTCAAATAGTTTTTTACTTGTCTGAAGTAATGTGGTGGTGCTCCATCTTGTTGGACAATATCCATATCGAATTCATTAGGAATCCCTTCAAGGATTTCAGTGATGAGAGGGTCAACAGTAGTTTTTAGCATATTAAAATACAGGATACGTGTTAGGAATCACACGTTAAAAGGTAAGACCTCGTTAATCCTTATCTCGCACAAGTTTCGACTTCTGAGGGTTGTCGTTCGTAGGGGTGCGACAGCTGGTTAGCGGAAAAACAGATTTTTTTTTTAAACAGTTCCCTGTTAAATTTTGATCAATAAATAGAGGTCCTACAATATGGTTTCCCAATATTTCTTCCCTAACGTTAATTTTTTCTGGATATTGAGTATAATTGGTGTACCATTTTATTTTTGTATGGATGATACCTATTCCTCTTCAAAAGTCTCCACACAGTAGAAGGAGACGCCTCACAAACATTCGCGACAGAATAAGTAGACTGTTCAGGATTTACTACCGTCTCACCAATTATTTGCACTTGCTGTTCTTCCGGAATGGACGGATGACCTCTGTTTTTTTTTTTATGTACACTACTGGTAGATGTGAATTTGGACGATTTGGAAAACGTTCATTGAAAATATTTTCGGTCTCGTGAAAGTTACGAGTCGCACCGTAAATAAAAATCGCTTCAATTTTTTTCTTCCAAAGGACGAGAATTGGCCATTTTATAGATTGTTGACATGGTACCGAAAAGTAAATGAGAATATTCTTACTGAACAATGATGTTCATTGTCGTACTGACATTTTTTGTCGTTTTTATAAACAAAAAATAACTTGACAAAAATCGGGTTGTTGGAATTGCCATATGGCAGATAAAACGGAATATTTCTAGAAATATCGATATTACTGTGTTTGTCTTCAGGAAATTATTAAATGTTCCGCCATTTTGTAGTAGGTGAAGATACTGACGTCATATTCTAGGGTTGTGAAGTTTTCGTCAGGATCTTCAAAATGATGTGTTACAAGACCCCCCTTTTCATTAAATTATTTTTCCCAGATGACGCCCAGTCGTCATCTTGAAAGTTTTATCTGTTAATTTCACTCATTGAAAATGAAGTATTCATGCATTAATTTCATTATCCCAAATTTAAATTTTTTTAGTTGACGCGTTCAAAAAATAAAATTGGGGGGCATTAAAGAAATGCACTGTATATGAAATATCAACTGAGGAAAATGTTGCTCCCTATTTTGAGTCTACCAATAAATCAGGTTGATTTCAATTCAAATAATATAATTCGTATAAAATGAGTAGGTTTAATGAAATAAATGAAAACTCTCACTCACAGATTACATTACAGAAGAAAAGGAGAGGTCTCGTAACGGAAGAAAACTGATTTGAATGAAATTTTGAGTTACTTCCCAACTTTGAATGAATTACTACTACATGCATTGAAGAACATAAGAGAAAATTTGTATGATCTTAAATAGTGAAAACTATGGACAGTTCTTCTTAGAGTAAATCAATCATGGAAAGTGACTTTTTCTTTGAATATTCCTCATATGGAAAACAGTGGCTTTTTCCACTTATATTGTACTGTTACATTAGATGTAAACATTAACCAAAATGTACTTCACAAAACATAGGTAGAATTGCTGTCAAAGATATTGTGATATTTCAAATGTTTTCAAATGAAAAATGTTGAAAACTAACTTGAGATAAACAGAACGGCATATAGCAATGAGTCATATTTTGCTATTAGTTGGACTTTCATTGTCTTAAAATCTGTAGATGTGACCGAAATCGAAAATTTATCTTTCAATTTTCGACACCATAAGTGTCATTCAGCTTTCTGAAATACGTCATAAAATATAAACGCAAATATTATTGCTATTGAACTGAAACTTCCTGAAACTTTCTAGAATTCTCACTTATCAGAAATCTGCAAATGGTTTCTATCTATATTTGTATAAATATTTCTTTATCAATCTCATCCTGTGCTCACTACATTGGAGAAATTTTGCAATTCAATAGTTCCAAACTTTTTGTATTCACTTGAGCAGCATATTTTTGTTCCATATCTTCAATATATATGCCTAAGTGTCGCGGGAGCCATGAGAACGACCCCAACTGCAGCACTTGAGGTCCTACTCGGAATTCCACCATTGCACATCTACATACAAAGAGAAGCTGAATTGGTGACACACGGGCTAAGGCAGGGACAAACTCCAATCAGCCAGTCATATGGTGCAGAATACTTGAAACTGTACAATGAATTGAAGGCAGATCCAATGCCTAGGAATGCCTGTGGACAACACAGTTCCGCAGTTCAACTTTGATAAAGATTTCAAAATCGTGATACCAAGTAGAGAAGACTGGCAAAACGATCCACCGGTAAAAGCGGAAAAAACTTGGTATACAGATGGCTCAAAGACCCAAGGAGTAGGATCCGGTATATACGGAGGCAGAGCAAGCAGAAGTAGCGGCCATCGAACAATGTATAGGGGAACTAAACAGGCAGAAGGTCACAAATGAAACCATTGTCATTTTCTCCGACAGCAGGCGGCAATTAAGGCGCTCAGCTCATTTCGAGTCTTCTCAAGACTGGTGGGAAGCTGTCTGAGCACACTCACAGAGATAAGTACCGAAAATAGAGGCACTCTAGGTTGGATACTCAGACATGAGGGCAACGAGGAGGCCGATGTTCCAGCCCTTGAAGGCGCATCCAAGACTATGATCGGCCCAGAACCTTCTACAGGGTAGCAAAACCATGTATAAAGATATCCATAAACTCATGGATGCAAGCTGGATCGACAGATTGGTGGAATGAGCTCCCAGGAATGAGGCAGGTGAAAAAATTCATGAAGAAACCATCGTCCTGATTCACAGAAGACTTGTACTACCCTTACAACCACCACTACCCTTACAACCGTAAGGTTATAAAGGTAGTGGTGGTTGCAAGGTTGTACCACTACATTTACAACCGTAAGGTTGTAAGGGTAGTGGTGATTGTAAGGGTAGTGGTGGGTTTACTAACGGGGCATAGCCGACTCAGGAAACATATGAGCAACATGGGTCTGACAGAAGAAACCCAATGCAGGTTCTGTCAAGAAGAGGAAGAAACACTGCATGTGATCTGTGAATGCGAAGCGATATAAAGCCTGAGACACGCAAAATGCGGGAAAGAGAAGCCAGAGGCAGCCAGCTATATGAAAGGGTCAGTGTCAAGGCTACGGAGTCTCATCAAAGAAATCAAGCTAGAAAATGTGCTCTAACAACCAAAGACCATCAAAACAGATCTAAAAAGGTCACAGTGAATCAAGCCAGCTCCCCGACAATCTAATCTGATATCTATGATATTTTCTATTTCTTTTTACCTCCCTCTACCAAAATATTCCAGAATTCATCGGCTTTGAGGAAAACAATTAATTTTCCCATCGCCTTTTGATAATGTCCACCGCAGTCAAAGACGAATTGTCATGCTCAAAACCATTGCCGACAGACCCAAAAATGGCTTTGATGAAGAATGTTTCATCTTTCTACCCTCCACCCCCCTTTCGATAAAGAAAACCCTTTGTAGAATTTGAGGTTTCAGTAACTACCCCCAAAACTTTTTTTAGATTTTCTATATTGATTATCCTACTAAGGTCGATGCAATTTAGGGTCGATGCAACTATTGAGGAATATGTCGAATCTTCCCCTGAGGGGGGGTTTTATCATAAGGTTTTACATTATTTATGAACACAGGTATAATGCACATCATTCCGTATCATCAATGCGTATCATCAGTAATGAAACAAATAATAATCAGATAATCTTAACTCTCCGGGTGTCTAATATACAGAAATATATGTGACTGCTATTCGGTCAATTGAAATCAATAATTATCGAATGACATTGTAAATGAATAATTTTTCGGACAACTCTTTGTTGCTCTTTTTTCCTTGGTGTCATCATTTGATTGACTATTTCTATGTCTGTGTCTTCAAATTCATTATAGTATAAGTGCATGATGCCGATTCCCAAAAAATATATGTTAGTGTATTGTTATGATTGCTATAAAAAAATCGGGAGTCAAACTCCTCATATACCTCATAGACAATGATAGTCCAAGCTATAAACATAGTTCTGTAAAAGGACAATCTTCAATTGACAGACATATTTTTGTGATTTCTGAGTACATCAAATAGTTATACTCAATAAAAGATGAAAAGTTTGAACCTAGTTATTAATATAACATATCAACTTTCCAATAATGTGAAAGTCAAATTATATAATGGAACAATTCGTTCAGGTCAGTTTCAACTTACGTACACCGTAAGTTAATGGAGTGACATCTATCAGAAAACAACTACTCCCCTGGCTAATACCACGAAGGGCGTTGGATTATATCCGACAGGTGTCAGTGTAGGATTCTTCACTGAAGTCATTCCTGCATATGGTGTTGGCGATACAACTGCCTTCG